AGAAATACTGAGACATGGTAAATGCATACTTGGTAAATACATTTCTCCCTTTTTCTTTCTCTGACCTAGAGACCATAAAAACCGATTTTTATTTCAAATTGATGACAAGATTTCCTGCATGCGGAATACCTATCTCAGGGATCTCTTGCCAGACTCTCGTTTCAGAGAGGATCCTAAACACTGTGAATGCAGAAGTGGAGAAACCTCCCTTGCTACAGAGCCTGCTGAGGACAAACGACTATGTAATGGAGATATATTTTTCGTAACAGATGTAAGTCCTTGCTGCAAGAACTTGCACAAAAAAACCCAGTGGTAACTGATTCAGTCCTTGTTGAATCCCCAGAACAAAACAATGCACACTTTAAGACTTCAATCCACAATATATACTTAGTTCTTCTGCTAAACTATCACGTGAAAGGCAAGAAAGAGGCAGGCTCACAATAAAGAATTAAAAAAAAATAAAACATCTGGGCGTTTTTGTAAACTGTGTTTCAGTTGGTCTGCTCATGTAAATACATTCTGTAAATACTCAAATGTATTGTAATTGAAATGCATAATGTTTTGGATACAGGTAGAAACACAGTGTTAAGTAAAAAATGAAGCTATTGTTACAGCTTGAGCTCTCCCAGGCAGAAAACTAAGCTGGCCAAAAAATAAAGCACCAAAAACCTGTGTATTTTTCTGCTGGGTTCGGTGAGTTGACTCAGCAGAGGATTCAGTGAAACTATCAGTATTTGTGCACAGGAAAGGGGGACCGTATAGCGTTGGTGGGAGAGAATAGGCTCTCCTCTGTGTGTGGCCTCACTGGTATATTTCACTAGGGTAAGTTTTGTGGGGGTTAAAACTGCCTTTCTCAGCATTTTTCTTACTAAACAAGGAGTTAGGGTAGGTCCTGTACAGTGAAACTATTTTCCTTGGAGGTGGTCAGTGAAAGACAGCGATCTGTTGGGTTTGGTGTCTTCTGAAACTATTTCACTTGGTTGATGTTGCAGCTGCTGTAATTTCAGGGAAAGCTAGAATATTGACACACGCGGATGTATAGATGTTGGTCAAACTGCTGATAGGAGTTTACTGCTGAGTGTTCTTGTTCTGTTTCTTTAGGATGTAGAAATTGATAAACAGCGCTTATTGACCATCAGCAACACGTATGGCTCCACTTTCACTGTGAGGTACAAGGCACTGAAGAAGCTATGTCATATAAAACATGCATGGGCCAGAACTATTCACACATTTCAGGTAAAAAAAAAAAAGGCAGCTATGAGCTGATAAACTTTCTTGTGGCTTTATCTTGCTAATGCACTGTATTTTCATACAAAAAGAGTCAGAAGCTCAGTTGAAACTAGAATTCATTGAATACAGGATAGAAAATACTCTTGAGAGTATCCCCAGTTGTCTCCAACTTCTGTGTACTTGTAAGCTGTCCTTTTTTTTTTTTTTATTTTTAATTTTTCCAAACTACTTACTGGAGATCTTAATTTGATAAGGTGTTCTTAAACATGTTTCAGGGTTCTGAGGAAAAAACAGTTGTCTATGTGGTTGGCAATCCTGGCCGTCAGCACTGGCAGCATGTGTACACAGCTGTGACCAGAGGATGCTGCCGTGTCTATGTCATAGCTGAAGAGCTGCACCTCAGGAGAGCAGTCACTAACAAGAACATGCCCAGGAAAACTCGCTTACAGAGATTTTTGAGAGAGGCAATCGCAGAAACAAACAACTGCCCCAAACAAACTTCCTCTCCCCTGATGAAGAGCTGCCAAAGTCAAGAGCTTGAGACTTGGTCTGGTTCTGTAAGTCAAGGTGCTCCTGGCCCATCTGAACCTCTAACCGACTTCATTAAACAGGAAGGGTCAGCAGCTCTCAATAAAGAAAAGCAGACAGGCAATTTGCAGCAAAGTCCATGTAAAAGACTACAAACGTTTGCAGAGAATTCCGAGGATGCTGTGAGATTACCCTCTGTAAGTATCTCCTTACTCAGAAAGTTTAAAACAAATTTTTGTGCTCCCTTTCACCACCCCAAGTGGCCTGGATACTGTTACGATTGTTTTATTAGGACGTATAATTCTCAAGATGACCAGTAATTGGTGAAGCAGTCAAGTTTGGCAGATGTTTTCCCAGAGTAATATGTAACTAACAGGGAAAAATAAGTTATAATGTCAGTGGTAGCAAATGTATACATCCTGTTACCTCACTACAGTGATCTGTTGGCTAGCTTAGCTTATTCATTGTGCACGAAGTCAATTTTTAGGAGCTGACCTGTGAAACTATTTGATCATTGAAGTAGATACATTTTTATACAGTCAAACATGCTTAACGGATATCTTTTTCATTGTATCTAATTTCTGAGCTCTGTCATGGGGAAAGAGGTTTTTGTTTTTTTTTTTTGAAGAGGTTACTGTATTTTAGTTCTGGTTCAAACTCTGGTAATGCTTTTGCTTTGTTTTGACAGACAACAGTACAAGATTCCCCACTTGGGTCTTCCAGACTTAAGAATCTAACTTTGGGACAACCAGTTCCTAGGAAGATTTTCAAAAGCTAACAAACACTCAACTCTTCACTTAATGAACCTTTCTTGAACCTACTTCATTCAATACTTTTGGGATGGAGAAGCTGGGTATGCAGATGATCTTCAAAGGCTTTCCTGTATTTGCATGTTCTGTGAAGAACAGCTTGTTTTTAAAGTGAGACTTTTATATTTTCAGTGATCTTGTTTTCAGGAGGAGATTCCTTGGTGTGTTGGTCATCAAAAATTGTATCATTCTTTTGGTTTGGTGTAGAATGGACTTAGAGATTTTATAGAATCCAGAAGTTCCCTTAACAAATACATGGGGATTTCTTGATTTAAAGACTCTAGCTATCTATACCAAGATTTATCCATCTCCTAATGCTACAGCATTGATGAGAAGCTGTTATCGATCTGCCAAAATTGGAGTTTGCTCTTGTGTCAAAAAATAGTTTACAAAGGGGACTTCAGATTTTTCTAATGTAGCAGAATTACAGGCATGAAGCTTTGATGGATTATGGATTTTAATCTTGTTACAAATAGAACAAGACAGTTGCAATCAGTGATGTAGAAAATTTTTCCCACTTCGTACTTGAAAGAGATGTAAATCTTGCCAGTAGTTATATGATGATAATGATTTTGGTAAGAAAAGCAAAATTCAAGTCAGAGTTCAAGTAACATTCCACTTTCAACTTTTGTGTACTGCGTGACTTGCCGCATTGTATTTTTTGAGATTAGTAAGATGAATGTTTATTCAAACTTCAAACAAGTTTGAATAAACCTTTCTTCCTTTTGAGGTTTTTTGTTTGGTTTTTTTTTTTTTTTTCCCACATATGGCTGGAAAAAGTGTACCACAAATATAAACATGGTATTTTTTGGCTAAAACTCTGGAAAAAATATAAAGTAGAAAAATACTACCTCATTTTTAATGTCTTTAAATCACTGTTTATTTCAATTTATACAGTTTTTCCATACAAATATTTGCAACAGTTTGAATTTCAAAAAACGTAACATAGACGATAAATACCATGCTATTAAAGTATTAAATTTGTACAAAAATACTTTACAGTTTAATACTTATTTGTTACAAATAAAAATACATATTTAAGTGACTCATGAACTGTTTTTTTTTTTGGTTTTTTTTTTTACATGATTGAGCATTGAATGTCCTTCTGGCCTTTTCTGGCAGTGCTGAAATAGAAATCAGAGCTACTTGTGTGTGCAGGGCAGGTGAGCTTGTTCATGTATTGGAAACAGCAACAGGGATACAGTTAAACAGTTCAAATTGACCAGAAACAACTCTGTGAGGTGATGGCTTAGGTATGGAGACTCTACAAATGTACAAATCCAGTATCTTTATATTCACCAATAACAATAATTACCAATAACGACTTGAATACCAGAATAAACCAAAGCAGCTGCTGGTGAGCATATAAAGCAACTGGCAGTATTTTATTGCTTGGGGGGGAACGGAGAGAATTTGTGTGATGTGTTTGTAAAATATATTTACAACTTTAAATTCTAAAAACGTGTTGTAGAGGGTAATGTTTTATCATAAAGGCGGCTGAAAACAAAGCATATTAAATGTGACTTTTGTCCCTTCAAGAAATTGTTTGACTTAAAAAGCTCACGTGTGACAGTACAAGTTTACAGGTTTATGGATCATTAAAGAGCTTTTCTATCAATCTTCCACTGACATAGTTTAAAAAAAGCCATTTTCTTTTAAAACCTTTCTAATTTGTCTGAACTCATTTCAGTTTTACTCTTCTCAGTAATCCTCTTTCAGAGGTTTTATCCCACTAAAAAAAAATCTCTGCTTAAAAATCCCCACGAGTTGCAAGACATACCATTAAATATTTCATTGCATAGGGAATAACATATGTTCTAACAAAATTTACTGAACTGGGGGAGTAATGTTTGCCGCATACTGCAGCTGCCTATGAGCTCTTTGTTAAAATGTCTAAACTGTGCTTTGTCTGAAGCATGCACCCTTCTTTCCAACAGAAAAAAAGTCCCCAAAATCACAGATCTAGCCATTTAACAAGAAAACCCAGTGCAGCATACCACTCTTCCTTGTCCATCAGACAGCAGCTTTCTGATAAAATGTTTTTAAAAATCATGTAGCCTGGACACAACTGTTTGTTAGCAGAGGTTAACTCCGTGCTTTTCCCTCAAACAGCAACTGCTGATAAAGGGAGAGGAACATTTAAATCATGTTTAAAACATCTCCCTCGTTTCTTATTTGTGGGGGAAAAAAGGCCCTTACGATTTTTTGTACTGTTGCTAATGCTAGATTGTTTAGAATGCAATGACTTGACTTAATGAAGAATTAAACTTTTTCAAAAGTAACCATGAATTAATACAAGCCTTGAGACAGACAGACCGACCTGTGCTTTTTAGTGCTGTATAGCATCTGAGCCTCAATCTTGGAGAACCCTTAAAGGGATTTAGCACCATAATTGTCTTGCATTACCGAATGTCCCGCGAAAATGATTTTCTGCTATAACGTATTTGTAGGATCCCGTGTCTCTGTATTAGCATGTCCACTCTGTTGAAGGAAGGCATTATTCTGATCGCTCCACTCCCCACTTGCTGAAGTCTGTTGTTCTGAGCTTCCTCGCTGAGAAGCCAGTGGGTTTCTGCTAATAACCAGTTCCAGCTTATTGCCAGATTCTGCGATGAGGGGCACAACCAGGCAGCAGTCAAAGTCTCTGGTGCGAACGTGGTTTACCTGATGGATTACAAGATCGATTTTTGTTCCCGTTTTTAAGAAAAAGAAATGAGATCATGAGAGAAACAGATTTATCTTGAGACTGCAGAACCTGATCTAAATATCCCAGGTAGAGAATCCCCTGATACAAGACTATTTAACCATGGTGCCTGGTCTGAAGACACCAGTTAAGTTTCCTAACTCACCCTTTAACAGAACATAGCTAAAGTGGGCACGTTTGCACTGGCGATAGCTGTTGGCAGCTGTTGCAATGCCCACTGCATAAATGACATTTAATAGCACATAGTTATTCTGTCTTTAATGGTGTTCGTTAATTTAAATGCAATAGATCACATCTAAAATTTAAATTCAGTTCAGGTCTTCTCTGGTTTCAGTTAATATGCGAAGTATTTTATTGGACTAGTTGACAAAAGAATTAATTTATTTCTTCCATCACGATCCAGCTTGGCACTGTGGGAAGTGTGGTGCTCGGTGAGAATTACATTATTAAACTATGTCAATCAACAACTTGGATTAAGCACAGAAACAATTCTCAAGTCTGTATCAAGAACAGCAAAAATGACAAATCTGGCTGGAAATGCCTTAGGAAATTCCAGCTTTCCAGTAAGAACTGTATGTCTCCTTTGGAGTTCTGAAATACCTAACATTCTGAAAGAATTTGTTTCTTTAAATACGATTTTAGAGAGAAATCTAGCCTTAGTGCCCCTGCCTAAAAGCCCAAGTCACTGTGAAGAGCTGCCTTTGCTTTCTGAGGGTCTTGGTGATCTACATGGCCTGTAATTGCAATAATTTGTTCTTCTTCCTGTCCCCCTACGCATACCCTTTACCAGCAGAAATAGAAAAGAACAGTACTGCTCCTAATTTAAAATATAATAAGCAATGTAGATTAGATAATAAGTTGTTCCAAGTAAGTGATGTAAACACTTTATACAATTCTACAGTCAGGTCTGTGTACACAAGATACCCGAACACCCTGCAGTGTGGTCACAAATCTTCTTATGAGGTAATCTGCATGTCACGTCCCTTCATGCTAAACCTGTGTGGTGCCAGAAACATTTACCTGTAAAAGCCTGTCGTATGGTTTTAAACCTCCAAGATCGCCAGGGCCAGCTGGTCGAATGTTTTTAACATACACTCCTTTTTCCAATAAACCATCTGAGACACTGAACCCAAAGTCTTCTCCATCAGAGTCCTTATACAAAGTTACCTGTGGAGGTGAATTTGACATGATGAGAAGGGGACAGGAAAAAAAAAAAAAAAGCACGCACTTAGAAGCACTAAGCAGGCTTTCTTCCTAGTGTGTTTTGGGTTTTGTTTTTTTTCCCCCCATTAGAGAGCTCACACCTACTATTTGTTATTCATGGTATTACAGAAGCGTTGTCTCCGTTTTGACATTATATTAACATTCTCAGAAGCCTCCTTATTCGTCAGTAATAAGCATTGCTTTTCACTTCTGCTTGTCAAGAGAGAAATCTGGGTTTTATCCCACCTTTTGTGGTATCATTTTTTTGAGTCTTAGCTTTTTTCTACCCTGTTCTCCCATTGCCAGGATTTGAGTACAAGCATCCAATTGGGTCATCCAATTAAGTCTAGTTTTACTTCAGGGATGAAGACCTGGCCTGAACCAAATGCTCCGTGTCCTGTCTTCCAGAACTTCCATAGGGTGTAAGCACCATTGTCACTGTGAGCCCTAGGCCAGCCTGGTTTTGGCCAGGCAATGGTCCACCCTGTAAGGCCTGATCTCAAACGTGCTCAGGGTGAGAGTTATAATGCAAACTTTTAAGATTAGAGTATGAATCAGGCTCTTTCAGAAGGAGCTTGTGGGCAGTGTTCTCATGTAGTCAAGAGATGGTCATTCAAAAGCAAGAAATAGAAGTTAGTAAAACTGTTAGAAGGATTTTCAGGTGTCCAGAGAACAAGTCCTTGCAGGTAGTTCTGTGAATTTGATACAACAGGATTCAGACTTTTCTGCAGGTATGTGGTATGCTTAGGTTTTTTTATTTCTGTAGGTTTTTTTTTCCCCCTTGCTTCTCTCTCACAGCAGGAGTGCAGACCTATGCAAGTAAATTGCACGAGTCAATGGTGTGACATCTGACCAACAGGCTGATGCTGGCACAAAATGTGTGTGCAGATACAGTCAAAATCAGGCTTTTGGTGCTTTTGAGTTCAAAATACTGATTCAAAACGTACCTTAGCTGATAAAACGACAGCATTGAGTGCTCTGTAATTTTATAATGGCAGGGTATCAGTAATGCTCCATGTGCTGCACCCTCGTGTGCACCAGCCACTAGATTCCTTTCTGCTGTTCCTGAATCACAGAATCATTCAACCTGGAGGGGGCTTTGGGATGTCTCCAGTCCAATCTCCTGCTCAAGGCAGGGCCAAGACCAAATTCAGATGGAGCTGCTAAGGACTCGGTCAGTATTTCATAGGAGAATGCCAAGGCGCAGCAGTGCTGGGGCACAGCGCTGGCTGGTGCTGCCTTCAGAAAGCTCCTGAGATGCTGCCTTCACTGCCATTGCGAGAAGGTAAGCAAGAACAGATCAGGCTGTCTCAAAACTGGAGTGAAGGATATGGTCAGATGAACAAAGAGCACAGATAGTTGGGTGTGGGGTTTTTTCCTGCTTTCTGCAGTCTTCTGGAATTTGCTTGGCTTTAGTGGTGTATCAACAGTGAAAACAGTCACTGCTAAGTTTTGTAGCTATCCTGGGCAGCAGTTGAGAGAAGTTAGTTAGACACAACGCAAGCTGCTGCAGCATTAGCAGTGTTTTATCTGTAGACGTGGATGATGCATCGCTGGGCTGCCCTGAAAACCTCCCTCTGTCTCATGCCGTGGTAAGCACAAATACCCCCACACAATATTCGTCCCTTACTTTACACCAGTTCTTCCTCTTCCCTTGTTTTTCTCCCTCTGTACAAGCACAGCAAAGCAGAAAGCCACACTGAAGTCCTAAGCTGAAGGCTTCCTCCCTTCCAGTGACTTTTTGGGGTATGAGCTGTCATTTTAAACTTCCCAGTGTCTGTGTTTAAGGTCTTTGCCTTCTTTTCTCCCATCTTCCCCCAAAGTACCTTCTTGCTGAACTTCATACTTCCTCTATCTCAGCGTGAATTTTGGGAGTCAATGGGCATTTCAGCTACTGAAAAACCTATCTGCAAATTCAAAATAATGCAGCACAGAAAGATTTTAATTTGTATCAAGTAGCAGCAGGACCCTGGGAAATTTCTAATAACTTGTTACCAACAGAGGCTTTTGTTTGTCATACCATAACATGTCTAACGTGGCTTTGATCTGAAGTATGTTTGAAGCTGCTGTAAGATTACCATTCTACAAGCCTAAAAAATAAATAAAGGAGCGAGAGATATTTTATTGACAGGTTTGTGTGCATTTTCTGGCAAGAATGAAAAATAATTAGTACTGGACCAAGACACAAATTCTCCCCAAATGAGATGAGAACCTTTTTCCCTCACACTGTCACAAAGGCTAGGAGTGCTTCATGTTAACTGCTTCTTAAAGAAGCCTTGAAAAGTAAACTTAAAAATGTGATACAGTGCCTAAGAGGAGATGACTGACTGACTTAAAATACTATGTTCTAACACAGATGGCACAATTTTTAAAAGCAACTTCCCCTCCCCACTTTCCCCCCTTCCTCTTCCTTCAGGAGTTAAGTGCAGCTGGATCCAACCTCAGATGAACTACAAAAACATCTGAAACGGGACTCTCTGA